TTGTGCAACTTGCCTTGTGGTGAAACCAGAACAATCTTGAACTGAACACACTCAAAACTGTAGAAATGGTGGTAGACTTTAGAAGAAACCTCCCATACTACCACCTCTTACAATACTAGACAACACAGTATCAACAGTAGAGACCTTCAAATTTCTAGGTTCTATTATATCACATGACCTAAAATGGACACCTAACATCAAAAACGTCATCAAAAAAGCACAACAAAGAATGTTCTTTCTGTGCCAACTCAGAAAGCTCAAACTGCCCAAGGAGCTGCTGATACAGTTCTAGAGAGGAATTATTGAGTCTATCATCTGCACCTCTATAACTGTCTGGCTTGGTTCTGCAACCCAACAGGACAGGCACAGACTTCAGAGGATAATTAGGACTGTAGAAAAAAATTACAACTACTACCAACCTGCCTTCAATTAAGGACCTGTATACTGCACGAGTCAAAAAGAGGGCTGTGAAAATATTTACAGACCCAACATCCCGGACATAAACTGTTTCAACTCCTTCCCTCAAAATAATGCTATATAGAGCACTGCACACCAGAACTAGACACAAGAAGTTTCCCTCCGAAAGCCATCATTTTGCAAAACAAATTATTCCCTCAACACTGTCCAACTATTTACAAAGTTGCACTATTACCATTAATCTTCTCATCACTCCTTATCACCCATCCCCTCCCACTTGTGATTGTATGACTGTAACTTTGTCGCTTGTATCCTTACAATTTATATTTTCCTAGTATGATTTGATTGCTTATTGTACCCTATGACTATTATTAAGTGTTGTACCTGATGATTCTTGACTCTTGACGAATGTAACTTTTCTTTTATGTACACTGAAAGCATTTGCACAAAGACAAATTCCTTGTGTGTACAACACACTTGGTCAATAAAAAATTCTAATGACCTATTGATCAAGGAGACAGGGGGGCACAAAACACTTTCTCAGCAGTAGCAGCTTCTGTGGAATTCTCTGCCCTCCCACCCTTCTATATTTTATTATTGAGGAAGAGGAAAATAATGCTGTTAGAGGTATAGTTCACTAGAGCAAGTCTAGAATGTATAAACGCACTTCAAATTTATGGATATTTGACATGTTTGGTGGAGGTGTAAAAAAGCTAGAAAGTTCTGGATTCAAACACATATGTTGATTTAGAGATTTTTAAAGATTGAGACCAGAGGTTTTCTTTTGGGATTCATGGACAGTCAGAAAAAAGACATGGAATTTGTTTTTGTACATGGTAACTGCAGAAAGATTATTGTATGCACAATGTTAGATTCAACACCATCCACAATGGAGGAATGGCTGAATATGATGGAAATTGCCCAAATGTCTAAACTGATTTTTATCAGAGAAAGGACTTTACACCCCATTTACTGCTGACTGGAAACATAAAACGAACTTATGATTTATGGTTTAGATCAAGGGCCCCCAATCCCTGGGCCATGGCAGGTACCACTCTGTGGCCTGTTAGGAACTGGGCTGTACAGGTGAAGTTGAGCAGTGGGTAAGCAAAACAGAGCATGTGTGGGATCTAGGTGGTGTGCTCCTCCCATTGATCTGTGGAAAAATTGGTCCCTGATGCCAAAAAGGTTTGGGGCCGCTTATTTGATCATTAGACAGGACAGATTATAGTAAGAGAGTTAAGTTGTAACCACAGAGTTAACAGGTAATTTTACAACTGTACTTAAAACTGCTATAAAGAAAATCAGAAGCTACTTCTTTTCTCTTTCTTGCACTTTTAACTTTCTCTTTATTTTCTTTTTCTTCTTTTATATTAATATGTATTAATGTTTAATCTTTTAAAAAATTCTTTAATAAAACAATGGAGAGTCCTTAGTAATTGACATCGTTGGAAGATTTTTTAAAAAAATATTGTAAGCTGTCTAGATTCTAGGAAGCTGGCATACAAATTGATGTAATGCACACATACATTCTAATAGAAAAAGTGCAATTTCTTTCCACTATTAATAGAAAGGAATCAGTGTTGAAAATACATACATTACATCGTAACAGCAAGGAACATAACCCTGACCGGTTAATTATGTAATATTTAGAACATATTATTATTTGGTGAGTTTAAACATGAAAATATCTGCCAGCTTTCCTGTGGTCTAGGAAAGTACAATATTTGGCAGTGTTCCCTAAAAGGCCTTTTGCCACTGGTTGTTCTAGTTAGTAGGTGTGATCAATTAAAAGACTTCTTAAGTCAAAGTAATGAGGACATTCCATAGTCCTTCAGGACAGATGATCTTTTCCTTTTTTCCTCACAGGGCTTCTATACATATTTTCAAACAAAGCAGGATTTTGAAGCTACCTTTCTTTTTATTTTTTTAAAAAGCCAAGGGAACTCATCTGGAAACCCAAAGGCAATCTTGTAAATAAGAAGCTGGTGCTTTGGTTTATGATCTTAAATAGTAAAGAAAAATGACCTATGTTGGAATTCTGATGTGTCAAGGTAGGTTTCCATAAACTAATTTAAAATGAAAACAGTTGTGAAAATCAATAAATACACTAGCACCTTATATTAGCATTTTTTTTCTAAAAAAATGTATGGACCTCTCTCAAAAGTCCAAGTTATTATGATTACTACACGGAAATCCTAAAAATGAGATTTTACATAGTACTATTGACCCATCTGAAAGCCCTTCTGGTCACTTTGTTGGCTAAAACAGAACTATTTATATTAAAAAAAATTATTCCAATATTTATGCTAATCCTCTATTGTGGAACATACACACTGAATAGAGTACTGTACGCATAACTATTTTAAAAAATTGGTATTTCATTATTTAAGCTAGATCAAGACAATACATATAAGTAGTCTGAGTTAGCTTAAAAAGTAAACATGACTTTGGAGCGTATCACTCAGAAAACCTGACTTTCATGTTGAATTTCTTATTGTGGCCAAGAAAAAAATCTTCGTGTTTTACAAATACTTTTCTTTCTGGAAGCTATATAAAAGACATAACAGTTTATGTTGATGTAATATTTTGTCAAGGAAAAAAAGCAAGTTCCCTCACAAACTAATATAAAAGAAAAAAAGTCCTGGCAACCATGAATAATATTTTGTTTAGAAACCTCCCAGTTATAGTCTAAAGCAAAAGGAATATTAGCCAGAAATATGACAATATGTTTGTAAAGTATATACGTTGAATTATGAGCAGTGATTTTTTTCCATAATATGTCAGAGACAAAAAAAAAAGAAAAGAAAAAAGAGGGAAACAGCATTTAACAAAAATACAATTACTTTACAACTTTTTCATATAAAAATTCAATCCTGTCTTATATTACGAAATTGAAAAGGCAACTAACAAACATAAATAACAATACTAAGCAATCACAAGCAGCGAGTCAACAATTATGTAAATTATGTAAATTATGGCATACACACATTGAAAGTGACATTTTAATAATTTCGGATATTTGCTGGTTGAACAATTAACAGGTAATGAATGGGGCAAGCCTTAGAAATGCTAGGAGATTATCTGTTAACAGTCATCTCTGTACACAAGAAAAATACACATGCCTTCTTAACAGCCAAGAAAAACTGCAATTTATTAAGTTTCAAAGAATCTTCGTACTCTTGAAAGCAACTTCTGGTGCATGTTTTTAACAATCACATTCTATGAGGAGAAATAACATTAAAAGCCACAAACTTTTAAAAACTTTTCATCTCAGAGTTACAGACATCTTGAGTTCAAAATTAAAGGCAAAACATTAAAATAAAATAAAAAATAAAAATTCAACAGGAATTATTTTAAAAATGTCCATCTCCAATTTCAAATGATTGTTGAGTTCTTTTTCTACAATTCATTACTAAATTTTAGCATGGAAAATTGTATTGACTATTTCAATCCGCACATAGGCACATATGTATTTTATATATAAATGTGTGTGTGTGTGTGTGTATCTGTGTGTTAAAGAGAGATATATACACAATACATATGTAGAGTGCGTGTAATGAGAATGAGATGCAATCGCTCTGAGAAAAGGGTATGCAGCTAAATACACTACGAAAACTTGAGAAAACACAAGTCTGGAACCCAATCTGTGCATAGTTCATGATCCTCTAAAAAAAACCCAGCTTTTGTTGATTTGCAATTTCGCAGGACCCTTTTTAATTTGACAAAACCATTAAAAAGCTAACCTTGAACAAAACAAAACAAAACAAAACGTAATGCACAAGTTTCCTGATCCAAGCAGTCAGGGAGCACAATGTTCATATAATTTTTAAAAACATACTCAAAGGGTATGTTATTCCATTGTCTTTCTTCCTTTCAAAACAATCAAAAAACATTGATCATTTTTAAACATAAAGCAATTTTTTTAATATATAAAGCACTCTTCAAACATCTATTTCTTTTGAGTCCATTATTTGGTAAATATGTAACTGCTACACATTAGATTAGGTATTTTTCTTCTTCTCTTACTGTCTTTTTTATTTTGTTTTTTGTTTTTTTTAATAATATCTTCAGTGCTAGGAGTTGGGTTTAAAAAATACATGAAATGGTGTGGAGTTGCTCCTCGGGAAACCCGGCTTTCCTGAGACATCTTCCACCATGTGCAAGATAGTGATCACAATATTTTTCGCCACTCTGACGAAGATGAGGGGAAAAAAAAAAGAGTACACAGCAATGGCCAAAGAAAAGGATCAACAACAACAACAGTAACAACAACAGTAACAACAACAAACACTGTTCAATCCCAGAGCTCTGAAGTAGCATATCTTCATTCTGAAAATAGGTTTCTTTATGATGGAAGTCTTTTTTTTTCTTTTTTTTAATTCCTTTTTTATTTTAAAGTTTGAAGGAGAAAAAAAAAGGTTTGTAAACAGGTGGGAGCTGAAATCGTAGGCTCCTCCAAAAGCAGTCAAAACCTATGTCCAAGTGCTTGTTTCTGTTCCAGCTTGCAGGGAACCACCCACTCTTTACAAGTATTTATGGCCACAGTTCAACAAGAGTTTTTTTTTTCCTTTTTTTTTTTAAACTTTATATTCCGAATGGGAAAAAATGGTGCAATACTCCGGTAATTATTTTCTTGCATTAGTCCACAATAAAAAGCTGCTAAAGGTAGATATACATATTATTCTCCAGAGATACACACTGTAAGTTTTTAAAATGCGGTAAGAGTCCTTGAGTAAACATTTACACGTGAATTGTCGCCAGCCCCTCCTATCAGTTTTTTTTTAATTTTTATTTTTAAAAAAACAAGTAGGAGTAGCTACAAGAAGGGCTGTGGACACTCAGTGCAAAGTTAGAAGCTAATAACAATTAAACATTTGACCGATAAGCAAATCAAAAGCATATACTGAAAAAGAAGGGGGGAAAAAAAGGTCACACAATTTGTTAAGTTGTACACCTGGCACACGCACACATCCATACATTCATACATCAGTTCAACTTGTCCCCAATGCATACATGTAAGAAAGAACCAAAAGTAATAATAATCCTAGAGCCTGTTCTTTTGTTTTCTGATACCAACCTGGAAGTGTAATAATAGAAAGTGTTCACATTTTTGTTATTGGCCTGCTGGATTCAAGTATAATTGCATGTTTGATATGTTAATTTTTCTTTCTTTCTTTCTTTTTTCTTTCTTTCTTTCATTTCTTTTCTTTCTTTTTTTTTAAAAAAAGACCTTTGAACTATTTGGGGGGAGAATTAAAAAAAAATGACACAAAAAGTAATGAAACAAGTGTAATGTGCATAGGCAAGACCCACGGGAGTAGTGGACCTGGATATTCCACCCCACCTCTCAATCCAAGTCATCCAGCCAAGGGGCTTTAAGATTCGTTCCCCAAGAGCTGCTGACAAGCTGGTCAGATGCCACCCCTCCCCCACCCCCACTGATTACTGGATCCGCCTCTGGTAATGTGCATAATTATCACAGGCTCATTTTAAATAGGCTTTCTCACCTCCCCTTCATCCCAACCCCAACTCCCCCCAAGTTGATAAAATAACCCTTTCCAGCCCAAATTCTGAAAAGTGCCCTTCATGATAGAACTAGTCTAAGCAGCTTGTATACGTCTTTAAAAACACCATACAAACATAAAAATAAAATTAAAAAGCCGTTGGAAAAAAACCCACACAAAAATCTATCATTAGCACATGACACTGACCAAAGGGAGCCCATACTGTTAACGCAAACAGTTCACAAGGGACTCCAGCAGAGTTTCATAGTCAAGATGAGACAGAGGTACTAAAAAAAGGGCTGCCAGTCTGATCTATTAAAGCTGGATCCTTCGTGCTGCCCTGGACTGGAAAGGGTTACTGCTATTTCTTTTTTTTTTTTTTTCCTTTAGTGCTGATGATTGTTACTTCCATTTTGTTTTTCCGGCATCCTAGATGGATTCCCCGCTGAGAAGATCCCCTGGGAGCAGAGTATTCAAAGGCGTTGGGCTTCCGATAACCCTGCCGTCATCGGTGCTGGGAGGACCCCAAAGGCTGCTTGAATACTGAGGGACCCCACCCCAGAGCAGATCGCTGCTCCCTTTCCCACCAAGGCAGGGGGTATTCCAGTGGCCTGCATCATTGCGCACCATGCCATGAGAACTGCTTGTGGAGCCCAAACGTGTCTGAGTGGTTCCAGTGTTGGACTGCCAACTGGAAGTGGGGGGCAGTGGCTGGCCTTGTGCTAAAAAACGGTTCACTTCCTCCTCTCCAGCAAACTCAGCCAAGATGGTAGTGTTCCCCAAAACGCACCTGAAAACACAGAGGAAAACTGCTGAGGCATTCTTCCCAGGACCTATGCATTTATTCTGACCACAGTATATACATTCCTTTAAACATTACTCAAGAGATAGAACATTGATTGTGAAATAACCAAATATTACAGTGGCAAACTTGACCAGGAAGTTTTGAATATGGAATATAACATTGTGGACATTTAGATTGATACCCGAGGATGATGGGGAGAAGGCAGAAACAGTCTTGATTTTTTTTTTTTTTTTTAATAGGATTGTAAAATAAGATGGACTAATTACATTACGCCCCACTCCCCTCTATATGCCATCTTTCTTTGTTCACTATTCATGCCTCCTTTTTTACTGTCCAAGGCAATCATGATCTATAACACAAGCACCAAGTGAGCATGCCATTCTTGAAAAACAGTAAATACTGAATCAAATAACATACATGTGCAGAGACTTCTGAGCCTTTGCTGCTTCCTCCTTGGAACTGTATCGGACCACAGCATTCCCTTGAGTCAGGTTCAGATGGAATGTAATAAGAGGACCATGTTGCAAGCATAGAGTACGCAGTGTAGAGCCATCAATCTAATTAGAGAAAGGGAGAGGGGGAAAAAGTGTGAGCAATTAATTTCTCTCCTTCCCTAGTGGCATTGCTATTCTGACAAAGGGAGAGTAACACAGTAGTAAGAAGTCAAAACCATACCTTAAAAACATATAAATAAAACAATGCACATTCCTCCCAGAAATTTGGTGTATTGATGAAATAACTCTTCCATCGTCTGCTCTCCCTACCTGAACAGGCGCACCTAGAATTGAGCTATTTCTGGAGCATGTTACTTTTCTTCAAGTTTTGCTGCCTATAGATTAGAACCTTAGCATTCCTAGTTGCCTTCAGAAAAGTGACGGGAGAGTCAGATCTCTAATGAATACATTTTTGAAGGATGGAGTGGTACCACCATTGATGTGCTTCATGTTGAAGAAGCCACCATTAAACCCAGGCAGTTTGGAAAACTGTCAACAATTTCAAGCTTCCCTTTGTTGTAAAGGTTATTGAGAAGGTGGTAGGATTTCAGTTGCAGAGGGTCCTGGAAGAAATTTGAATATCTGGGCTTTTTCAGCTGGGTGTCAGGCTAGAGTACTATATCGGGAACACATTGATTGCTTTTGTCAATGATCTGTGGACAACCAAGATTTTATGACCTTCCTGATCCACCTTGATCTCTCAACTGTGTTCATAACCATTGGTCATGGTATTGTTCTGGATCATGCCTGGGAGCTGAGAGTGGGAAGCGAGTGTTACAGTAGTTGCCCTTTCCCTAGAGCCAGCTCTGGTGGTTGTTGGTGGGAGGGAAGAATTGAAGTCAGAAGGTGCTACACTGTTGGGAACCTGCAGGGCTCAACTCTCTTTCCTCTATTCCTTCACAGATGCATGAAGCCACTGTGAGAGGTTATCTATTGACATGGGGTCAGGTAGCATCAGTTCACTGATGATACTTATTTGTCTAGTGAGGCACAGGACTGAGTAGAAGGTGCGACCTAAGTAGTGACCCACTCCCCTGATGCTACTAGGATCTACATGGAGAAGAACATACTCAGTCTCCACCTTCACAAGGCAGAGTGACTGTGAGTTCAGAGGCCTGGCCAGTCTGAGAATATTTTTGGTTCTAGGCAGAATTGAGCTCCCTATTTTTAAATTGGTTCATAATTTGAGGATCTTCCTAAATTCATTATTCTTGCTCAATGAGCAAATGGCAGCTGTGGCCAATAGGACCTTTGCATAACCCCATCTTGTTCATCAATTTCTACTGGAAAGTACTCTGCATGGGACTGCCCTTGAATACCACCCAAAAGCTACAAGTTAAGAATGCAGCTGCTGAAGTATTTATTGGTATTCTTCCTGTTACCTGTGAAACACTTTGAGAACTGCAATGATTAATAGTGATCTGGATTTAGTTCAAGGTGCTGGTTGTCATCTTTTAAACTCTGGTTGTCATCTTTAAAGGACTACAGATGACTTAGGAACTGGTTATCTTTAACCAATCTAAGATCATCTGCTAATCCAGTGGGGTCAGGGATAGAGGGCTTTCTCAGATATCCTAGTCTTAAGAGAATGTAATCATTTGGGAGCATGAAACCAGGCCCTCACTATTACTGCCTCTCTCCTATAGTGTAGCAATAATTGCAATAATCCCAGCCCTCCATCAAACCCTCAATGAGTGAAGTACAAACAGCCCCACTGCAGCTTGTGCTTATGCCATTCTAGCACTTAATAAATAAATAAAAATGTCAAGTAGGTCAATCCTACAACTTGCTGTTTTAGAAATAAAATGCTTAAAATAGAAAGCTCCAAGAGTTAAGATATCAAAATTGGATAAGACACATCAAGAGCAGAAGGGTCTGAGTTTACAAGTACAATGTTGATTATTTTTTATGGCTCTTCCTCTAATTTACTGTAAATTCATTTACCTGGGGAGTGAGGTTACGGAGAACTAGCCAGCTACTTGTTCTTCCTGAGCTGTCAGTACTCCAGGCTGAGCCTACAACCCAATAAAGAAAACATTAGGGAAAGCCCAACCCAACAATTGAAGAAGAAGAGCAGAAGACACAAACCTGATGAATACATTTTCTAGAAGGATTTCTAACTGTATTTGGATCAGAAGATTTAGCAAATGTCTGCTAGCCTTCCTCACTTCCCTCCATGTTCAATTCCTCACTGAGAATTTTGCTTGACATAAACAGAATCAATGCATAATTTACTAGGTTTCCCCAATATGACACTTTACAAAATGTTGGATCACTATGTAAACTCACAGGCGTTACATAGGCAGTTGCCAAACATCTATTGGCATGCTTGGTATTACAAATGACATTTTAGATTTTGCTTGTATACAACTTAATCTTATGAGCACTATGCTTGGAAACCTCTGAGATTTGCAGAAATACACTAAATTGAGGATAGAGAAACATCTGTTCCAACAGTCCTTTGAGCGTGATATAGGCTGACTGATTGATGTGAGGATAACAAGGAATTGAGTAAAGCAGAACAGAAGGTGAAGAGAGAATGAAAGCATGTCTTATCAGATGAAGCCCACAATAAAATTACTACGTTTCAGTATAGACTTAATTTGTTGATATTTCTATAGTGTTTTCTAAGCCACACTTTATATATCTATATCATCTATATCTATATCTATCTACGAAAGGTAACCTGAGTGTAATACAATATATTCTGTATAAGATTGTAAAACAAATTAAATAATTCAGACTATAAACAGAAGGCAGATGCATCTGAGCTCAAGTGACTGACATTGACAATATTGCACTGTCAGTCTTCAGAGCAGGGGTCTCCAACCATGGCAACTTTAAGACTTGTGAACTTCAACTCCCAGAATTCCTCAGCCAGGAATTCCTTAGAGGCGGATCAGACTTGGGAATCAAAGTAATTAATGCTAAAGTTATTTTTTATTATAGTTACAGTGAAAAAAAAACCTTGCATGACAGAAAGCACCTCCCCCCTCCATGCTTTTATCTATACGAGAAATAGGAAGGATCAATTCTGAGATGCTTTCTGAAACTACCCTTCTGCTTTGAATTTAAATTTATCTGATTCTTGCCTTGGTTGTGGCACTTCCTCCTGTTCCTCAAGGTTATTTTCATAACCTATTACATGCACTAATTTTAGGTCAAGATTTTCCGCATAAAAAGTCTAAACACAAAGTAAATATATATTGTATTTATTTAGCTAAGAAAGAGTTGGACTGACCCAAATTCTAATCCATCTTTAGCCAAGACGATCACTGATTGTCTTTAGATTGGCTACCCCTTTCAGCCCTAACAGGGTTGATTTTGTGGAGAAAAACTGGATGAGAAAGTCGTATGTATGCTGCCTTTAACTCTCAAAGGAAAGGAAGATATAATCTATGTAGTTAAGTCAAAAGGAAAAAAAAGAAAGAAAGAACTCAGGAATACCAGAGGAGTAAGAGCTGGTCCAACCCAATGGGCTGGCACCCCAGGTAGACGATGGCTTGGTGTTTGTTAAGCCTGGAGGTGGCCTTGTAGGAGCTGTAGTGTTCCTGGGAACCTTCCAAAGTTCATGTGACAAAGAGGCTTGCGTGTGAGAAATTGGACCAGAAGACCATGTTGATTTGATGTCTGACAATTTACCTACAACAGAGAAATACAATTCAAAATGTCAGAATGTGGAATTTTTGGACAATCTGGGATCCCCAGGTTTCTGTTGTCTGTATATAAACAGTGAATTTCAAGCAAACAGTGTTAGTACATTGCTCATCTTTGTTCATTTTGTTGTTGTTAATGCTTTTTTTCCAGTTTTCTGCTATGTAAGTCTCATTAATCCATCAAAGATTCTTAAAATGGACTTTATAAAGCTCAAAAATATGAAATTCTTCTGGCATCATAACTTCAGAATAAACCCACATATTTACCAGTCTCAAGCATATAGTATCATTTTACTCTCCCAGCCCGCAACAGAAAAGGGAAGAAACTGCTCATTTTCACAAAGTACATAGAGGCTACTTTGTGATCCACAAAGATATTTGGGAAAAGGTTGTAACTTTCAGTTAGCCACAGTGGATGCTTCACAGAAACAACAATTGGCTTGATTCCTTTGGCTATTTAAAGCGCAGAAGCCCAGCGAAAAAAAAGTACTGTATATTCTATAAACCTAATTCCTGAATTATAGGAATAAAACTGAAAGAGAGTTCCTCTCCCTACTAAAAGAGAATGATAAAATGAGGATGAAGGATAGCATGCAAAACAAGAGGAAGATAAATGAGGAAGATTCTTCAACTTGCTTCATTTATTATTTTCATTTATCCACTTAGCTATCACAGGGAATGAAGAAGAAAAAAGGGACTCTCTCAAAACTTTCACCAGATAGTCCTCATGACAATGATTTATTCCTGCAATCATATATTTCTGACTAGTTTTTATCATCACTATCTCTAACCTGAATTTCTATAGCAAATATAGTGAAACATCTGAAAGATGATTAAGGCAACCGAGTAACATATTAAAATAGCAATCATATGAATAAACCATACTTCAATGTCAATTAACAGAAATATAGAGTAACAGATTATCATTGAAATATTTCCCAAAGTCTATAAAGGAAGGTGATTGATACACAGCCTAAAACTGCAATCTTAAATACACTTTCTAATAGATTATATCTACTAAACTCTGCTACAAGTATTGAGCTTCAATCAAAAGAACACTCACATTCTATGCCACCATCTAAGCATAGGTTTTCTTACCATTTTTCTCAGTTCTTAACATTTTATGAAGTATAAAGCTGTAGCTTGTATTAACTAGGTTGCTGTCAAGTTATTTATTTCTCCATTTCCAGAAAGATCGATTATTTGCACAAAATCAGTAAATTCAGAAAAATCAAGTTCCGGATCTAAATCAAATTTCATCCAAAAGAGAAAAACAGCCCCACCAAAGCAAAATGCATCCTAGGTAAAATAAATGGCAACTATTTCTTTATTTTAAAACCTGTTGAATTGAAGATTCAAGAGAACTTTCAGATTTTATTTTTTAACTGCCAATTTTAATTAAATCTTAATTTCTTAAAATTTACTTTAACTGCAATTAAAGGTTATGATGAGTCTTGTAGATAAATGTCTATGGAGATTCACAATCATCCAGGCTATGGTTGTCCCAAAAGGTGTTTTTTCCAAAAGGCAACTGGATTTTTTTGGTTTTGAAAAGAAACCTTTTGGAAAAAGCACCTTTGGGATAGTCTGTGAAAGGGGTAACTGATACTTTGAATCAGTGAAGGTAACAACTATAAAGGCACATGTGGTGGAGAAAAAGAAATAGATTTATATATTCCTGGCTATATGGAGGTTTCCACATTTTTTTCAGGTTATGATAAAATCTAAACCTTTGACGTAGTTCAGTCTACACACTAAAATAAAACAATATTTTGACAACAGAATGCTATTTTGAAAGATTGATGAGATGTTAATTACCTTATTTTTAGTGAATCAGTTAAAAAAGGCATACAGGTAGTCCTTGACTTACAACCACAATAGGGACCAGAAAATTCATTATGGTAGTGCGGTTGTTAAATGAGGCATCATGTAAACACATTTTATAGGCTTTTTCTGCTGCGGTAGTTAAGCAAAGAACCATAGTTGTTAAGTGAGATATCACATGGCTATGACTTGCAATCTGAGAGCTTTCCCCATTAACTTTGCTTGTTGGAAGCCAATGGAAAGGTGATTGTGTGACATAGGACAATGCAATAATCATCATAAATGAGTGACAATTGCCAATCACCCAAATCGTGATTGCATGATTGTGGGAACACTAAAACAGTTGTTACTTTTATCAGCACTATTGTAAGTAGAGGACTACTTGTAGTACAGGATTATACCACTGACAGTATTTTGGATGGCTCCCAGAAATTATGTATAATTCTAGTTAAAATTTTTTAGTTCTTCCTATTCTTTAATTCTGGGTCCCATCATGGAAATTGGGGGAAACCTCAGGTGACAAATTAGCTATGATTAGCAAAGGTCCCACTGAAAGATGACAAATGCACAAGTGCACAAATACAACAAAATTCTTAAGAGCTGCTACTGAGGAAGAAACTTGTCAGTATATTTTTGAATGTTGGGTCCAATATTATCTGATATATAATATACACTGTGATAGAAAAGGCAGATCTATTGTTCCCATTGACTAAATAAAACACACACCATTTATGCATGTTTTTTTTCATTTGCTTTTTCTAACTCCATCAGTGCATATCAGTGACTGCATGATGAGAATCAAAGCTGGCATTTTTTGCCTTACATTATGCACAACATTAGGCAGATGATGAACAAGGTTATTGTCTGTTATTCTCATTTTACACAAAAGTTATACATTATGATCCCACATCATATATGTTGCTTTATATTGTTGTTTCCACAATGTAGGTGAGTCATTTTCTTACTGTTAGGTACATGATGTCTCTTTTAAAGATATTTTTAATCTTTACATGCCACCTAGAGTTTCTTGGTGACTAAGGTGGCTAAAAATAAGTGAACAAAGAAAATGTGATAAAAAGCACAAATAAGAGCACTGCGTCAGAGTTTAGAGATTGACAAAAGTGCACATAATAAAGTGTGCTGCTACTTTCAAGGATCCTTCTCCCGTGTCCTCCTTATGAGTCTCTGAATTCCTACTTGCACTAATGGTTTAAGAATAAAATAGCTGCCAGCACCATGAAAGCGTGAGGACAGGTGAGCACAGTCAGTCTTATCCAAATTGATCATGACCATCTTGGTTATTACTACTCTCTTCAAAACAAGACATAGTGGAGAAAGGGAGGGAGAGAGGGCGCAGAAGAGCAATAGACGCTGCTTCTTTGGATCAAGTCATTCTCCCTAAATAAAATGCTCAATGTCGGACAGGCGGTATTCTTTGCTTCATAATTTCTGCTGGGAATCGCATGTATGCTAGGTATTTGAAGAAAACATTTATGTCCTGATTAGTTTAACAGAAATTAGCACTATACTGAATGTCTGTTTCTCATACTGAAGCAATGCATAGCCTGGTATGGCCAGTCGCATATTATAAATCCCCGTTACACATTCACTACTGCTAAATTCTTAGGACAGTCATTTGAACAAAGGAGCCCAGTATGCAAAAGAAGTACACTTGTTGTACCATTGTCGTTACTGCAAAGAACAGAGGCCATGTGGAAACCTCCTATCCCAGGGGCCTCTTAGGAGAAAGGCCATTGGTCATACCTGCAATGCTGCTGAAAGAGCTACTGTAGCCGGAGGCACTAAGTGGCCAGGCACTCGATGAAGGCAGCGTGGCATTCTGAGATGATGTTGGGGATGACCCTGCAGAACCAGCAAAGAAGCAACTAAGAAAGATGGGCAGAATGGTGTCTACGATAGCATATGCAAGTCTCACACCATCACATGCAAACAAAAACCATGCAGGGAAGAAGCTAGTCCAGCCCTGCCTTTTGACCCCTAGCTGTGAAATGTTATAGAAAGCATGGTTCAATGTACGGTAGTGAACTCACTATCAAGCAACACGGTGAGAAAGATGGTGTTCAAGATGGTGAAATGGTGTTCATGCAGAAATATATATTCCTTAACTCTGTGTCATATTCAAGATAATGATATTCACTGCCATTGTATCCACAAATTATGAATTGCGTGTGAAAAATATGAAAATGCAGCCATGTTAATTATGATGAGTCTACTTTATATTCTATAGTAGGTATTTTCAGAAGAAAAGGCACATCTCTGCCCAATTTGCCATGGCTACCATTGACCATTCTTGTCCTCTTGACATTCCTGCAATTTTGCTGAAATGTGTGTTCTAGTAAGCCTTGCTACAATGATGGTGACACTCAATATTATACCACAACACAGGGTAAATTTATGATTGCTGCATTATGCAAGGAGACACTGAAAACCAAATGTCAGATTCTATTCAACAGATTTGTTGAAAACCATCCATCTTTAAGATGATCACACTACTACGAACCATCTGGAATTCTATATCTGTTGTCATGCTTGTTTCAGAAAGTGACACAAATAATTTTCCAATGCATATATGTGCCTTGGCAGAAAATGCAAACATGTTTCTTATACCCATGTTTTCTGCCTAACCTGTGCACTTCAAGAAATAAATTTTAGTATAAAGTTTTTCCAAAGAATCCAAACTAATAATACACAATTTACTATTATTATTTTACCAACAAAAACATCTATTCTAAAAAGTCAAGAATGAAAGAAATATTACTCCCACATTTTAAGTAGTTTGTAAATCAGAAACTAAAGTCAAAGATCAGTGCTGAAATGACTGTGTCTGACTTAGGGGATATGAAGAAGTCCTCTGTTTGTGATTCATGGTTTGCTTATGAAATATTCTAAAATCTGTGATTGTTGTATATTAGCTGTAAGTATATTCCATTTTGAAACTACTCAAACTTTGATCATGTATGAAGTGTTGTTATACGTATTCTAATTACTTTTAATGGCTTTTAACTTTAACATGATGTCTTGAATATTCTGTTGAATGGAAAGTTAGAGTATAAATTAATAAATACATTTTCCACAGAAAACAGATGATGATGTTTTTTGCGGAAGCTACGTCTACAAGACCGGATGCTATTAGGATTAAGTAGAAACTTGTTTTATTCCTACTCCCCACATTCATGCCACCTTGTCTATACTGTACCTAATTCTAAGCATAAGTAACTTGTACTACATTCATAGAGAAAGTGAGCTACAGACATTAAGATCCTCCATTTCCCCTTATTTATCATACTCTATCATGCTGCCTAGGAGAAGGATGTCTTTTGCATACAAGTGCTGTGAATGGATAATATTCAAACTACAGTATATAACAATCAGAAAATAAAAAATGAAAACCTAGACTTTATTCCAATTATAATATAAATAAATTTACAAAATTACATCCAGATTTTAGGTATATAATGATGTGCTTACAGCTGGAATTAAAAAAGACATAAATGTGTATTTTGAGTTTTTATTTCACTTTAATATAGAAATATACAAAATCTGCTTGGAAATCTTGTCCAGAATATCCCCGACACTTCACTGTGGAATTGTTCTGGATCAGGAAGTAAGGGCTGGAGAGGGCTTTTATTCTGTTTCATTGGGAATAAAAGTAATTGTGCAGCTGGGACCATATGAATACCCTCTTTGGTACTTCCATATCAACAAAGGAAGGGAAAAAAGAAGAGCAACTTCGCCCCAACTGTACTCTAAAAATCTTGAGTATAGGTCCTTTAATGGGTCACATGCATTTAGGAATCTATAAGGGAAGTGATCAAGGATCTGTGTGGTAGCGAATCTAGGTTTTGCTTAGATAAATTTTGGATCTATAAAAAACTAACAGAAACAATAACAGAACTAGCTGTTTTCCTTTGCTGAAGGTTTTGGAAATAGGATGCTTTCAAACACTATGCATGTGTACTACATATTGTACTTATTTTTGTATATCAGGATACTGAGATGAAGCTACAGTACTTCAGCTTACCTCAGTATGCAACTAGTCCTGTTATAAAGAAACAGTGTTGCAAGAAAATATGCTTTCAGAGATAGTAGGACAGTAGGATAGTAAGACAGAAAGACTTTACTAAGTGTCTTCAATTCTAGGCAAGCTCACAGCAGCAGGCTTTTAAATTGCCTGGCATCAAATTATATATGTTTTCTAAATAATAGAACCTAAATTAATGTCCCCCAATATTGATAGACCACTGGTCTATCTGACATAATTTTGTTGATACTGGTTGGCAATGGCTTTTTATGACTTACTCTTGTTTTCTGAATCCAAATGTGAGAAAAAACGAGGGGTTGGTAAAGTTTCTGTAATGTGTCAGCCAAATATTCTCTATATGAGATTCTGATTTTGCTTTAAATTACAAAAAACTCTTTTCTCTTGCAAAATTAATAAGAAAAGTAAGATGAAATATTAAAGAATTTCAATGGTCAAGGAAGATGTTCTTGATTCCTTTTTAAAAAAAAAATAACGTAAAATAAAATAAGTTTCATAAAAGACTAGGATGAAATAAAAGGCAAGATAAAAATCCAAAATAGAAATGAGAAACTTAAATAGGTACCTCCCATATCTTCTTCCTAATAAAAACATTTCCCTAGCTATAATAGGGTTTGTTTGGGTTTATTTTTTTGCTCCATAAGGAAAATACATAGGAGCTACTCTTCATAGTACAAGTAGCAATGGCAAACAGTGACAAAAGTAAAAACAGTGAAAAGAAAAAAGTGAGAAAAAATTAATAGAGATAATCTAAAGCCCCACAGTTAAGATTCTAACATTCCATTCAGCAAACCATTAAACAATTTAAAAGGCTGCAGCAGAAACTCTGACTATGGATGTCTTTCTGATCTATTTGCAAATGTGGAGCCCAATGATTGTAATTCAACAGACCCAAAATAGCCCAATGCAACTTGGCAACGGTTCCATCATAGATCTCTGAATTCAGGGAGAGAAATAATAAAACTAATGTATAGATATGCTTTTATGCCCACTTTCACATTGAGCAGATGGATCAAGAGTATATTTTTTTCAGATCAAAGGGCAACTTTGGCTTTTGAAGATATGTGAAGGTCCAACCAACAAATTGGTTTTCAGAATAACATTTAATATATTTTCCTTGGAAAATATTTATTTCCTTTATCTAACACATTAAAAATTATGCTCCTGGGGCATCTCTGAAAGGTCTTGGGAACTGTTTAAAAGGTTTGTGAAAATGTATATACCTTTTTCACTCTACTTCTGATGTTTACCTAAAATGTTGGGAAAGTGCTGAAAAACCATGCATTTTCCAAATTCCCTCAATCAGCCAAAAGGTAGGCAGAAAAACACAATTAGACATTGTACAGGAAGTGTCAGAAGCAAGGAAAAGAAAAGTATCACAGGACATAAAGAAAGGAAAAGCACCAGATATTTACAAATACATGCACATTAATTATTCACCAAGAATCTCAAATCTAAATTCCCTGTATCATGTCCACAAAATTCACATGTAATTCATAAAACCAACATGTTAATTTCAAGTTTATCTTCCTTAAATTGTTGAGAGGCCAAAGACTTAAAAAATTATCTTCAACAGAAAATTCTTTCTGGCGGCATTCTATCCCACAAATACAATATGTTTTTTAACTATAAAACAAGGCTAGGACTTCTGGTGCCTGCAAGTCACCAGTACATATAGAATTTAAGAGTAATCCCACTCCTCAGTCACTCTGAAAAACAGTAACATATTTTACACCAGGAAGGAAGAATGAATAAGTCATATCAGAACACAATAGCACTTTTAGTAGCATTACACATTTAAATTAGGCAGCAAAGTTCTCTTCAAATAAAGCAGCTAGCCTTAGTTTTGTTTTCTCCTTGTTTTCTCCTACTCCCTGACAATATCACTGATATCAGCCACCCTTCCTCCCAGCAGTCTTATGTTCAAAACAGGAAAGGGAACAGTATTTATTTTCTCTTCCACAGTAGAGGAAAATGATCCATTCCTTTGCAAGAAGATGCAGAGAGGATTGTGGATCATTACTTCCATTTTATGAACAAAAAAGGGAATGCTTCTCTTTTCAAGACAGTACACATTGTAGATATCTTACATTGTTCTGCAGGATTTGGACATATAGTATGGCTTAATACCATCATATTTGGTAAAAATATCAAATAAGAAAGTGAAAATCTCATGAAAAAGAACCGTTACATTTTATATTGCTTTTATAATTCTGGGATCAGAATTATATTTTCTCTCAATAAAAATTATTATCTTGATTATTGAACTAACAAGGTAATTGCAGAATATTACCTTAGATCTGAAAATATAATTCTACGCTACAGCATACAGGAATCATAGTGAGAAATGAAACTTCACTAAGTCCCAAGGAAAACAGAGCAACAACTTCTAGAGAAGTTTAAGTGAGTTCTATTAATTTTCTTACAGGCTGAAAGCTCCAAAGAGCAATACAAAAACCCTCTCCATTGAACCCCTTATATTTAAAAGAGACAAGGCATCAGATATTTCAATTCAGGTATTTCAATTTATAATTGTACAAGATTAAATATAAAACTAGACATGGCAAGGAGCAACAACATTTCCCCCCCATTTTTTTCTTTTCAGATAAAAATTGAAAAGTAATTTAGCATTATGTGGCTGTGAAGTTAAGCAGACAAGATGGGGCTTAAGACCTATAAATGAGCATATATTTTTTGAAGAAAAAGATAGCCAAGAAGAAATTTTAGTGTACAACCTACCTCTGCCAAAAAAACAAAACAAACAAACACTCCAAAACCAGTTACAGAAGAAGGGCCTCTAACCCACACTATTTCACTGATTTCATTATCAAAGCTGTTTTGAGGTTTAACCAATTAAATATAACTTGGTAATTCTGAGCCTGAACATAGTCTGGCATGTACTCTAAAAACCATATATGTTATATATGTCAGAAGAGAAACAAAAAAAAAAATCAATAAGGACAAATGACTGTGACAATACCTCCACTTTTGAGTAAGTAGCGATTGACATCCTGTATAGTGGTGTTAATTGTAGGACCTGTAGGAACACTTCCAGGGGTAACATCAGGATCATTTTCAGGGTCAATATTTTGTAATCCTTTCCATGGTACTCCAGGATGAAATTCTGCTTGGCAAACAAGACGAAATCAACGTTTTACTTCTCAAGAGTCACAGAAAATAGAGATTTATGGAGAGCCTCATCTATGGAAGTTTTGGTGGGTGGATTTTGCTGTAAATTTCAGAACTAGTCCATCACTGTTCATTGTTAGACCCCTGGGATTCCTGAGATTCTATATGCTTTGTCCAACAACAGTATGAGATAAATAAAGTATTTGGATAAATCCTTAAAAGAACATTTATTCATTTCATTCAGTGGAAATATAATGAGGAAGTGGAACATAAAAAGTAAGCCAGTGCATTTTGAATGCTAGGTAAGGAAATACATTTCTTTTGTCTGAAAAAAAAAAAAAGTACATTGGGTTCTCAACAATAGTGCATTTCAGGACAAAGGACAACTATGTTACTTCCAGATAACATTTGTACAATACTTATTGAAGATTACCTGGTGGCCAATTGATGCTGGAGCCATTGGAGATTTTATCATTATCAGATTTGGCACGTGACCAGCTATGAGGAACAGCTACAGGAGGACTGGCTGGTGATTCACTATTTTGAATAAGATCATACCGGCCATAAGAATCATCAATGGAGGACTTTCCTGGAGGGCCAATACTCAGACCTCCAGGGATAGCACCTGGAAATGGAAGAGGTACAGGCAAGAGATCATAAGCATATTAACAATATTAAATGTTGGTAGTGTTTCCTATTGCATCTCACTATCAAAAACAAATGAAACTACATTTCAGTCACCAAAGGCAGCATGATTCTGTGCATTTAAAGGAAGGATAGAAGATTAAATTAGGAAAGGTATATAATATATAATGATTCTGAATATCATACATTATTTTAAGTATAGTTATAGATGCAGCGGTTGTAAGCTACATAAAATTTACATTAATAATAGAAGCATGGTTGATAGTAATCTTCCATTCTCTAGGATAATTTTGGAGTTGTTCATTTAAATGAAAAAATAAACCTTCTGTGAATATTTCAAAATATTCCTCAGAATTTTTGAAGAAATTAAATTTTCTAACAGTGCTAAGCTAGATATGATTGCAAACTCCTACTGAGTTCAATAGCATTATTCTCAGGAAAAAATAAAACCCTAAAGTTTGTTTATTTATTTAGTTCTAATAAAGTTTATTAAATTTTCACCTTTAAAAAAATAAGTTCTATATACATTTTTTGCAGTTATTTGTGACATCAGTTATACCATTCTCTAATACATACACACACATATATATACACTATTTACAATTACATTTTAAAACTTCTACTTTTGCATTATGTTTTCTTTCTATTTTTAACCAGATATACCATTTTTCCCAGGCCATATAGAATTCTTTATCTTCCCTCTCCTGCAATCCCATTGTGAATTTGTTAATTTCTGCACAATCCATTACGTTTTTCATAATCATGTCATCTGTGGGTGTACTATCTAATTTCCAAGTTTGAGCATATAGTATCCTAGCCACTATTCAGATGTGTATCATTAGACATTCATTCTCTTTTCTATATTCTCCTTCGATTATCCCTAATAAAAACATTTCAGGTTTGGGTACTATCTTTAGATTTGTTATTTCCTGCAACCAGATCTGTATCTTATTCCAGAATTATTTCACTTTTGGGCAGGTCCACCACATGTGAAAGAATGTACCGGGTTTCTTTTTGCATTTCCAACACTCTGATTTTAGGTTTGGATGACAAATGAGTTCTATGTATTTATAAAGTATATGCATTACCATGCTTGCTAGGGTTCTGGTCAAGTGGAGAAGCAGCACTGGAAAGATTATCCATTGAATTGGGGTGTGTCCACTGAGGAAGGCGAGACTGGGACTGAGAAGTATCCTTCACTGACAAACCACCAGGAATGTCCATACTGTTTACATTCATGTTTGGGTTCAATCCAGCTAAAAAGTAGATAAACTGTCAGACTTTCTTAATTCCTAGCATTTAATGGCAATTTATATTTCAGGTCATAAGTTAACAGTATATGTCTATTGATAAGGCAAATGAGGAGAAGAGGGGGGAGGGGAGAAAAAAAGCATTGGGAATAGAAAAGAAAATCAAATATCGCCTTAGCTCACTTCATTACTTCTAAAAACTCAACATACAGATGTATAAATATTCTTTCACATGGAGTTTACTTTCTATCATTCTAAGATCCTAAATTTTAATACTTCTGGAGAAATCTTCCTGGTGTTATAGGAATAAGAGAGTAATATTTCTGAAAAGATAGATTTAAGAGGTAGAGGATATATGGGCTATGCAATCTTTTCCTTAATCAACTTTGTAGATGAAAAAAAAAGTGACAACATGAAGAACTCCAAAGGTTAATGGCCACTTTTTAGGATTATTCCAATATGTAGGATCCAATCACTTGCACAGTAGCATTAGCAAATTCTGTATCAGCCAGGCACTCAAGAGAAATATTAAGTATAGTATCACAATATTTCCACTATATTCATTTCTTCCAAGGCACTTTAATTCCATAATGAAGTCTGAAGCCAGAAAAAAGTGTTCAAATACAGGACAATTAGCAAGGGTCTTCCAGAAATAGATATATGTACTGAAAACCTGTAAATGTCTTCATATTTTCTTTCTTCTCTATCTAAAAATAGTTGTTATATATAAGAAATACATGGATTGGAAACCAGTAGAGAATTTATAGTTCTATATTTGTTAGATTGGAAAGTTAAAAAAATATTCTTCCAAAGAAGACAATGACACTTTTATAATGCTGCCAAAAAAAATGGCATGGATCTAATCCCTAGGAGTTGAGTTCAATTATAGTGTGTGTGTGTGTGTGTGTGTGTGTGTGTGTGTGTGTGTGTTGCTGCACTGCTGTGTCCTGGGTTAAATAACTACATCATCATAAAAATGCAAAAGGAACATGTAGAAGAAGAAACTAAAGGAAGACAGAATCAAAGAATGAGGAATTTTAGTTATCCATTAGCAGGCAATTGGACAACTTTTCGATATTCTGGACTGTAATTCTCATAATCTATATGACCAAGGACTAGCTGGGATCAAAATCCAGAAAAATATTAGAGGGTACTAGGTTAACCGTTCATATTTCCCAAATAGAAAGTTTTGTGCTTGCTGACACCTAGTGTTGTGAATAGGAATCATCTACATTTTACTCAAGGAAAAACATAGAAGCTGCATCTGATAGTGATGAATGAGGCAAAAAGACTTGGGCAATAATGAGGGGAGAGAGAGACAGAGAAAGAGAGAGAATATTACTAGTAAATTATGAACAGTAAAGTCCTACACAAACCACACTTACCAAGGGGGTAAGGAGCAAAGGTGTTCGGTGAAGACTGTTGCTCTTTGGTCTGCAGATCAGATAGGCCAGGAGCTTGGGGATGGGGTGAAAAGTTATCCATGGCTGATTTGCCTGCAGAGGGGTGCAAAGATAGGTGTGGAGGGGGTGGCTGCTGCTTCATAAGCAGGGCCTGGGCCAGCTGGCGCTGGTGCTGCTGAATTTGCTGCTGCATGTTATTGATTGTACGTGCAACCTACAAAATAATAGTAACAACAATTTTAAAAAACAGCCCAAAGACATGATTCTGTGCTATGAGCCAAAGAGCTACACTAGCAATAAACTCATTGGTGAAACATCAGATGTGTCAGGCATAGGATGCAGAAACTGAAATCTGCTATTACAGGTAGTCTTTCAAGTTACGACCATTTGTTTAGCAACCATTCAATTACAGTGGTGCCGAATGGACTTACGATGGTCCACCAAGTTATGGCCATTGCAGTATCCCCACAGTCACCTGATCAAAATTCACGTGCTTGGTGCCTCACACATAGGGGTGCTTCAACTTACCCCCTCCCCCCATCTATGCCCTTTGGACCACCTGCAATTCTGTGATCCTTGACACCCTAGCTGACCATCATTGTCTCTTGCTGCTGACTAAGCATGCCTAGTGTGGCCCTTCAGCTTTCTTCCCCAGGTTACTCATGGCCATTTTCTCACAATATCTGGAGTAGGCTGCCTCATGTGGCCATCATTTTCATGCAAAGGGTAGGGCCAGGCATTCCTCATCAGCAGTGGGAGGAAGAAGGTGGTGAAGATCATTTGATGTGGCAGAGTGCAAGGTGGCAGGGCCTTGGAGTTCTGGGTAGTGAGGGTGACTGTTGCTGGGCTCCCTGTAACTTCCCAGGGTGGCAAGAAGGCCCCTTGTGCCACCCTCACTTGGCTGGGGCTGGGTTGTCCTTTGTACTGCAAAGGGCTTCAAGACGCAGCTTAGGGGCTCTTGTAGAAGAAATCCCTTCATGCCATGCTGTTGGGCTGGGGCTGGGCTGCATACCGTGAAGGGCTTTGAGATGTGCTGCACCTTATGGGTTCTTATAGCCTCACAGCCCGTGGAATGCCAAGAAGCCCCTTTGTGCTTCATGGCTGGGCTGGGCTCCATGTTGCATTGAAGCATAGAGGCTTTCTGCAGTCCCAGAGCCTCAGTGTATCAAAGCTGCAATATATTCTTTCCCTGGTCTCCCTGAGCTCACACAATGGATGCACACACCCTACACCCTTTTTCCCTAGGCTCACTGAGTTCCTGCTGCACTGCAACAACTCCAATTTTGTGCATGGCCTGGTGCCCCTCCACAGCACCCTGTGCTCCTTACCCAGGATTCTTTCTGCTTCCCACTTAATGATCTGGATGTCTAGAGTTATGATGTCAATGAAGACTGCCGGGATTGACATAGAGAAGTAATGTGGTCATGTGATTAGTGCTTCACAACTGCATCACTTAGCAATGGAATTTCCAGTCCCAATTGTGGTCATAAGTTGAGGACTACCTGTACAATTACTGATTTATTTTTGGATAAAAGAATGCAGCACAGAATCTTTATTTTATAAATAGTCTTTACTGACGGTACATCTGGAAATGAGTGAAACCTACTTGCTGTTCCTGTTGTCTGATGGGTCCGGAAACGTTACGCTGAGCCTGTAACATCTGCTGCTGGATTTGTAAACGTTGGTATGCCTGAAAGATACAAAGAAAGGACTCATATGATCACAGAACAAGGACATCCAATACTTACAGTGTATTTAGTCAGCATTTGAATAGCTTTAGTACTTTTCCATTCTGCCATTCAACTGAACTGTGCTCCAAAATCTTGAAATTCCTAACTGCACTGAATTTGAGTAAGTTTCAGAGCAAACATGGGCTGCAATCAATATTTGGCCAGTTAGAACTGAGGATAAAGTATTAAATGAGAAAAGTATAAGTATCATCATCTGAACATGATACTTCAAAAAGTAGAAATGAGAAGTGATACACCTCTTCATTCAGAGTCCAGGACCACCCTCTTGCCTATTTTGCTTGCACAACCATATTTAGAAAGAAACCCTACTTATGCCAATATTGGATTTCTAAATGTAAAATTGGCATGGATTTACAGAAGGTTACATTTTGATGAGAAACAGAAGGGTAGAAAAATGATACGTATTTTAAAAAGAAACCTTTCTATAGATGCTTTCTAAGGATGGAAACCCTGCTATGACTAGCTACTTCTGGAATTCAAGACAATTTGTAGAGGTCAGGAAGCTGAGGAAGGACTTGCATGTGGAGCTTGGAAGATATCCCATGGATCTAGATTTCCATTTTGTTTGAAAAAGAGCAGCTAAGCTAATAGGTTTTTGTAATTACCAGAAACAAGAACTTTATCGTGGATCACCTCTGCTTATGAAATTAAGACACACACATTTCCCCAGTAATTAAAAAAGGATTCCTAATATGTATGAATATCCATTGTATGTATGATAGCTATACCAAAGTGACTTTAAGTCTTTAATCTATCAACTGCATGAACCATTAATGCATGAACCATTTAAATGATGGTTCTGATGTGAAATATATGCCTGTCTTAAAGCATTTATTTTTTAATTGCTCAAGAAGATAGGTTAAGAACCATTTTAAATTCTACCTTTAAACCAGATGGTTGTGGCACTCACTTATTCTCTGTCCAGTCTCCATCACTGCCAAATCCATTTTCCCTTCTTCTCCATAGGTGCTTTTTCAAAAGGCTACTGGACTTTTGTTTTTTGTTTTTGTTTTTTCTTGAAGATGGTTGGCTTCTCATCCAAGAAGCTTCTTTAGTTCTGACTGAATGAGTGGAGAATGGAATGATTTATATTCCTTGCAGTCATCTGGTCATTAGCACTCTTTTTGAGAGTTGCTGAGGCCACTTGGAGGTTTAGAATATAAACCCTTCCTTTCTTCACCATTCAGTCAGAACTGAAGGAGCTTCTTGGATGAGAAGTGAAACATCTTCAAGGAAAAACAAAGAAAATCCAGTTGCTCTTTGAAAAAGCACCTTTGGGGCCACCACGACCTGGATGACTGAGAATCTCCATAGACACCTCTCTCTCCATCTTTTAGATCAGGATTATTAGAAGTAAACAATCCCCAATTCAATAGCAAGGCTTGGATTCAGCTCTTGCAAAAGAATACATTAAATTCCATACTAATATTTTAACATTTGGAGTTATGTGATGTAACATAATGTTGTTTCTGTGCTCTGAATCCCATCGAAAAAAGTCCAAGACAGGTTGATCAGAGGTAGCTTGATCTAGTGTTTCTGGCACCAGACTAGAAACCAGGTGACTGTGTATTCTAGTCTTGCCTTAAGGATGAAAGCTGGCTAGATAACTTTTGGCCACTTTCTCTTTCTCTCAGTCTATCTCACCTAACTGTTGTGGGGAAAATAAGAGGAGAGGGACATTAAGTATGTTAGCTAGTTTGAGTTTTTAATAAAAATAATAAAAAGGATAAAATATCTCAGCAAAATAAATGCACAATTATAGTTACTTTGAGAAGAAATCATACATAACTCTTAGTAATGATTAACATGTAGTAGATAAAATTATAGGGATTGAGTTTTGGTAAAGAGAAAGGCAATAGAAATATGGTGAACATTCTGAGAAACACTAGCAGTACTAGGAAATGGTTTTGGTGATGCTGCTGCTTATATGATTCAGAAGTTAAAGAGCAGAAAAATCTGAAAATAATCAGCAAAATATGAGACTAAAAATGTTCAAAAGAAGATAGGAAGATAGTACCTTTATTAATTGTATATAATTTCTTTGGTTTTTTTTTAAACTTACCAGCTGCAGCTGATAGAGCTGGTTCAACATCGTCATATGCTGAGGATTAATTGGCGAGGTTAATAGTGCAGGATTGAGACCAATGTTTTTTGCTGCAAACTGCAAAAGCTGTGCTTGAACCTGAGATATAATGAAACATTTTATTACTATAATTTACATTCTGCTATACCAGAATTTAAGCATACCAGAACACTAATGGCATGCGATCTGACTTTCTGTGATTCTTTTGTGTTTATTTTTGATAAATATATAAAAAACCCAAGAAATTTATAGTAACTGCTTGGATCAGACAAAATAGTAGCATATTGTACTTGCTGCATATCATAACTAGGGTTTTCTTACTTAAGATTTCTACTTAATATGTATTGAACATGGTATAGTAATAGTCACTGCTAGAAATATAATAAATCTTTCAAAACTGAAGAATAACTGAAGAAAAGAAAGTAGCATCCTGATTGCTTCAGGAATAATCAGTGTTAGTGGTTAATGTAACCTGGATTTCTATACTCCTGGCTACCGACAAAGAAATTCTCCCAATTCTCTTTAATTTAAAAAAAAGTTTTCAAATTTCGATGTGATGTTTCTCCCTTATTTAGTTCCAAGGTTGTTTTATCTTCAACTTTACCATCCTTCTTGGAGGAGGAGGGCAAGGGGGAAGGTCCTTGGTGGTCTCTGCAGCTCCCATTAAATCCCAAAAGAAAGCATCATGAAAGATTCTCATCGGAGAATCTCTTTTTCCTCTAGAAATGATCCACCCAATTATTTCTCCACAATTTTAGATGTGACTTGATCAGCCCTTGGTGTCCAGCTCTGCCGCCTATAATGCTGTCAATCACAACTAACCTGAGGGGAGAGAAACTGAGGCACTTGAGCACGAAGACTAGGCTGGGATGAGTTAAGAGGTTGCACTGGCGGTTGCTGCGGCTGTTGCATGGTCCTGGCTTGTGCTGCTCCGCTATTGCCAAACATACCTAGATTGCCACTCGGTATCTGCAGAATAACAAAATTCACATTTTTCAGAAGTGCATTTTGCTTGGTGGCAATCATTTGAATTGCTCTAAATGTTATTGAACAGGAGCCCCCCACCCACCCACCCCCCGTAAAAACTAGCAGAACTTTCAATCAATACTTGAGTGAAATGTTACATTAAAGCTCAGATAGTATCAGTAGTAACCAATATACTGATGTTTTAGTAGATATATCCACAAATATCTACTTTGTGGAGTAGAACCATCCAAAAGTACAGTATATAAAACTCATATTTGTAGTCAGCCATATGTGGGCACTTCCCTCTCTGATGGTTACCTGGAAGGAGTGGCTACC